CGGGCGTGAGCCGTCGGTGTCCTGGCCAGGCTCCAGCTGGAGCTCACAGCAGCCTCCTGAGATTCCCTCTGTGGTACCAGTTGCGCATAGGATTGGCCGTCGCTTTCTGCCCTAAATAGCGCGGGAATGCGGTGGGAAGGGAAGGTGCCAGCACACGGAGACTTCTGCAGCTTCACGGGCGGCTGCCTGTGCCCATCTGTGTGCGTGAGGACTGCGCGTGGGGAAACGTACGGGGATGTGTTTTGGCGAGATGGGACTTTTTAACCCGTACGTGTATGACTGCGTCTGTGGACGTGCCAGCGCATACGCACGGCTCTCAGACAGCTTTAATTTCTGGATGGGGAGGTGTGTGTTTGGGGGCAGCGCGTGCTTCCCCTTCACAAAAGTGTGATTGCACGTAGGTGTTAGTGCTGGGGGTGGGCGTGCATTTGGAAAGCGGAGGAGCACACTTTGCCTCCCTTTGTGTGGGGGGCTGATATATTTGTCGGGGGGTTATTTTTCTTGCAGCCCTTGACAGGGAAGCGTGTCTGAAGCTGTCAGGAGTTTACGTTGAGCAGCCACTCTCTGGCTCTTGGACAGCAGGTCTAAAGTTTCAATGTGTTTGTATTGGGCTGTCATGTTATGGGATTAGGGGCTGTCACGATGGCTTCTGGATGTGTCGTAGGGGGTCTGATTAATCTCACTGTGCTTCTGTGGAGCAGCACCTCTGTGCTGGTGACAGCGAGGTGTGGGCTGAGCTGCCAGGAGGGACTCCTGTGCGGTGGAGGAACCTGTTCCCACCATTTGAGGTCTGGAGATGGTTTCTGTTTGCTCTCCACGTGATGGGCCCCTCTTTAAGCACGACGGCAAGTCCAAGAGCACATTTTGGAGGGACATCCAGCAATGTCGCCGCAGTAACTCCGGTGGCCTGTGTGTCTGGAGAATGTTCTATGGGCTGCTCTTCCTGAGCACCCCTGGGGCAGAGCAAGCAAAGTCAGGCTCTGTGTGCCTCTTGCCCTGGGACCTTTAACCCTTCTTTGTCTGGGCTTCTCTCTGAGGTGTCATAAATAAAGAGGGAGTGAGACAATGCAGCTGCTTTCGAATCCGTTTTTTGCTTTTATTTGTGATTGAATCTTGTTAATTGTTAGTGCGATAATTATGTGAGTGACTCTGATAGGGACCATTTAGTTCAAGATTCTCTGTGACCTTGAAGTTAAGACCTTACCTTCTTCCTTTCTCCCCCCACTTTCTCTTACCCCTCCTTTACTAGCTATCACTTATGAATAAACTACATTAAAATAACAAACTCACACTAATTAGCTGATTGTGCTGGGAAGTGTGAGAGCAGAATTTCCTGTGTGTGCGAAAGCGAGCAAGCGAGCAGGCAAAGGGGCCTGATGGACTGATACCAAGCCAAGGCGATTTTCTCCCGTACGGCTGCCACACACCAGTCGGGTGCTCCAGCACACACACGTGCCAGGGCTCCTGTCCTTCGTGCTGTTTTTTTCTGGTGCATACTGGTTCTCTTCTCTGAGACAATGCTCAAACCCCATTAAGTGAATTCTTCACCAACGCTAGGGTTAGGCTTGGGGCACCGTTCTCCCTTCTGTAGGCGCTTGGGTGCGGTTCCTGGTGTGGTTTTGGCAGCCAACACAACGGGGATGGGGCTGGGAACCTAAAAGCAGGTGGTGCTACAGACTGAAGGAGAGAGCAAGTCAGGCTTTCAACAGACTTTACATCCTGCCAGAGCCAGAAGCAAAGCCTGGTCCTGGCCTTCACCTGCCTGAGATATCTGGGGACTTTGGAGCCCAGTTCAGTCCCAGCATAAACACCTGCTTCTTTCTCGAGGCCGGTGGCATCCTTTGGTCCCAGCAGGGTCAGAGCGTGGGCTCACCTGGCTGGGCTTCCACTCTGAGCTTAGCAAACAGATGGCAGTCCCACGTTTCTGAGGATGCTTAAAGGCCTGTTGGGTTGGGAACAGCCATTTGGTGTTTGGGTTCAAGTTGTCTGCTCCCACTAATGCCCTTCCTTGCTTCTTTCCCTTCTCTTTCCAGCTGAAAGAACTATATGCACTGACGCAGCCTCAGGAAAACCCACAATGGCTGCCAAGCGCAAAGGTGGCCTGAAGCTAAATGCAATCTGTGCCAAGCTGAGCCGTCAGGTCATCTTCGACCACGGGGGAGCCGACCAGGCACGGGCCGCAGCGGGAGAGCAGCAACAAGGACCTGCCTCAGCCTGGGACCAAGGAGCTGGGGACGGAGTTTTCGGATGGACTCAGCCGTGTGCAGAAGATTGAGGAGGACAAAAGGAGGGAGGTGATTGAGAAGTGGGTGAACGGGGAATACAACGAGGAGCCCTTACTGGGGCGAGCGGAGGGCAAGGAATGTAAGGGCCCCGAGAGCGCGGAGGTGCCCCCCGAAGGGGCCTGCCTCAGCCTGGGACCAAGGAGCTGGGGACGGAGTTTTCGGATGGACTCAGCCGTGTGCAGAAGATTGAGGAGGACAAAAGGAGGGAGGTGATTGAGAAGTGGGTGAACGGGGAATACAACGAGGAGCCCTTACTGGGGCGAGCGGAGGGCAAGGAATGTAAGGGCCCCGAGAGCGCGGAGGTGCCCCCCGAAGGGGTTTACATGGTGCAGCCCAAGGGCTGCAGCGATGAGGAAGATAACGGGGATGAGGCGGACGCTCTGAGAGGCTCACAGGATGGCAACTTCTTGGATGACAGGGATTCAGACGGGCTGGCCTCAAAGAACGATGCCTACCGCTCCTCCAGCGGCGAGAGAGGGGGGGGAGGAACCGCCTCAGGTAAGCCCTCTGCCGCTTCCACCTCTTGCGTTTTCTGCGGGACAGCCGAAGCTGTTGCTGTGTGTTGATGCCAGATGATACTGTCTGCGTCTGGCAGGCAGGGCAGAGGGTGAAAGCCTCGTTCCCTCGTTGAGGCCAGGCATTTTGCTCTCAGGACCGTGCTGAGTTTGCCTCTCTTCCGTCTCCCTTTCCCAAGAGGGGCTTTGGTGAGGCTGGATGGGGCTGGATGGCTTTCCAGACCTTGGCAGCATAGATCTGACCCCCGTAGACTCCTTCACACCGTTCAGATGTCCATGGCTGTGGTGTGTGCTGTTTCCCTGGTCATCTATTTACACATGAGGCCGTGACAAAAGCCAGAGAGTGCCCTGGTGGCAGATCCCAGGAGGATTCTGCAGCCCGTTCCCAGGCTATGTAAGCACACCCGTGCCCACGTGTCGCAGCTTACCCTGTGGTAATTAACCCCAACATCAGAGTTGACCTGGGCGTCAAATAAGAGCCCGTTACAGAGCTGTCTGACACCAAACGCATCGTGTTCTGTTTGTGCTGCCCTGCGTTCCCTCATCCCGGCTGGAGGAGCTGAGGGGTGACCATTCGCTGTGGATGCGCGTTCCAGACCTGCGTGTCCCCCACTCCCTCAGCCCGGGAGGCCAGTTTGCAGTTGCAAGGTGTTTTCCCCCAGGCTGTGTGTGCATTTCTCACTTTCACACAACTACCTTATTTCTGTGGTTCACTCAAAAGCTGAATTCAGCAAGAGAGGTTGAGGAAGTCCCCAGATAAATTTCTTTCTCTCTGAACCCAGGTTCCCCCCAGATTGATTTGGGGGGAGCGTATGAGTGCTGAGCCTTGGTAAAAGCTTGGGGTAGATTAAATTCTCTCCATTAGGGCAGAGCAGCTCCCCCCTCTTATTTGTCACTCGGCTGGGTTGGATCCGTAATTGAAAGATCTCCCCCTAATCTGCTCCACCTGCATGCACCCCTCCCCTGATCTCAGCACTTTGTGAATCCATCAAACTTTCCTCCTTTTGTGTGCGTGCGTGTTTTCCTCCTCCTGTTAATAATGCAGCCGAAACTCATCTCTGTCTGTCCGTTCCCCTTCTGGAGAGGCACATTCTCTAGTCTTCACGAGTTCAGTGGCAGCGCACATAATTATGCATATAAGATATAAACAGAGCTGTTTAATTATCCTTCGCCACATCAGTGACAGAGTAATTAACAAACATTGCAAGATCAATGAGGAAAAGTGTGACCTTCAGTTTCCTTTGATAGGAAAGCCCTTGTCGTTCCCAGACACAAGGTGATTGTGCCTGGACTCTGTTTTTAGTTTGTTTTAATTTCTACCCCCTCCCCGTCATTTGGAGCTTTTATTCGCTACGAAAACTAAAAGGAGGGGAACTTAAATGTAAAAAAATACATTAGCACACTGGGAAAAATGAGAAGGAATTGACATTTCTCACTGGGGTAGGAGTCCTTAGTAAAATGCTATTTTAGGGCTGTATTGTCAAAGGATTATGCAGAAATGTGTAAGCGTTCATGGGGGGCTGAAGACTCATTTATGCTGAAGGCAGGTAACGGCACATGTGGGTCCGGTTTACATATAGGGCCACATGGGATTTGACTTGCAAACAGACGTGCTGCCGGCTCTTGAGCGGCTGTTTCAAGAGTCCTGTTGCAAATGCTTTTTGCAGTGTTTCCCTGGAAAGCACAAACTGAAACCTCTCTTGCTTTGGGAAGGACAGAGTTCTTTTCCTCTTCTGTTTTTATTGCCAGTGGTCCAGAAAATTAATTTTAAGTTGTTCATCACCAAGTCATCTCAGACCAGGTGTTACTGGGTGCAAGCTAGGTTTATTCCAGTAAGATCTGGAACTGTCTATACCAAAAAGTACTTTTTGGTTTTTTTTCCTGGGAGTTGGGGAGTAGCGGGAGGCAGGTGGATCAAAGTTGAGGAATACAGCTCTGCCCTGCCTGTCACTGTGGCTTTCTGGGGGGGAGAGTCATCGCAGGAACTGGATTTATTATTGATTTATATATAGCATTCAGATTTCCTAGTACAGTCTCTGACAGAGATCCCTTTCCACAATCCCTCCCTGACGCACATACGCCACGGGAGATTCTCTTGTACAGTCCCATGTTCTTTACTCTGCCTGTTACTTATGTAGTGGGATAAAGTAGTCACCAAGCCTTCAGAGTTCTCCTTTCTTTTCTTAACCTGTTGGCTAAGTCTCTTAGATTGGCCCTTTTTTTAACAAGGTGGGGTTTCTCTTTATAATTTCCTGGGGAAACTCCACTTGGGAGAACATGCACGAGTGCCAGTTTGTCACTCGTTACCCTAGAGCCCCCAAATCTACACATTTTCCCTCCCAAGCAGAATAAAGGACAGAGCCCTGGCTGGGATGTCCCATCCCCCAGTACCCAGACCTTGCACTCCATTTGGGCTGTTTTGCTTTTCCTTCCATATATAGTGTGCTGCTGCAGGCTATTTTTAGCCCCTTTTTTGCTAGCTTCGGATCCTTTGTGATACGATAGCTGCTCTGAGACACACAGATCTCTGCTCTTTGGCAATGCCCACAAATGGAGAGCAGCGGCATGAGGAGAGGGAGCCCTTTTATTATCGCATGGAAAAGGAGAGAAAAACGCGGTGCAGGGGAGGGGGAAGAAGAGCCAGGGACGATGCTCCCTGTGCCTCCCAGGGCTGGCCATTTCTCGCAGGGATTTGCTTCCCAACCGCTGTCCTGCCTCGCTTTTGTTGGCGTGTGGGTACGAGGAGGGGTTTCTGCTGATTAGGTGGTAACAGTTCCCTCTTTGCCATTGTTTGAAAGTGCATGTGCAATGAGTTGGCTGGGTCTCGTACCATCTTTGTGGTGAGACAGCTCGCTTCCATAAGGTGCCTCGGCTGGAGCTGCCTCCAGCCTTCTGGCTGGGTGCCTGTGCAAATACACGAGGGTGGGTTTTCAGTGCTGGTGGACTCGTGCTGGGATGGATGAAGAGGTGGGAGCTGGCCAGGGCTTCATCTCGAAGGTGGGTGAGGAAGGACTGAGCAGTGCTGGCAAAGCTGTTGGTGAGGGAAGGTGTTGCTGTCATCTGGAACCAAATGTGAGCAAAGGAAGAGCAGTGAAAGATGTTTTCGGGGATGGCGGGGATTAAATCCAGGGTGGTGAAAACTGAACTCAAACTGAGACTTTGCAAAGCTCAAAAAAAAAGGTCTGAAAACTGCCCCTTTCCTATGCTCTTGGGTTTTGCATCTAATTGAAGGCATCAGCTCAAATTTAGCCACAAGGATACCAAAGGTGCTTTCCAAGACCAGATGTGCAGACTAGGGAAGTTTAAAAAGGAGCAGATCTCCTACAACATTTCATTTTTTTCTGGTGTTAAAAGAAAATACTAGGTTTCCTTGAATCTCCTCTCTTGATTTTTAATGTTAGTGGGGCCTGAACTGAGCTGGGATTTGTAAAACTGATTAGAGATGTGGCATTGAAAAGGAGTCTCCCTTCTTTTTTCGTGTGCTGCAGGTTAGGATGAAGAAGGAAAGGAGTTGACTGGCTTTCAGGGCAGCTGGTAAAGCTAGTAAAAATCACACTTACTAGTTTAATTTCATCTCACGTCCTCTCTGTGGTATCCGTTCTCCCCTTGCAGCTTGGCACAGGCTGGCTAGTTTTTCTCTGTGGTGCCTGGAAGTCAGGGCACTGTGAAGGAGGTTAGGGGATTGTTTTACAGGTCCAAAAAGAGAGAAAAAGCAGAATAGCGTAAGCAGATTTAACAGAAAGAGAGAAGCGTTAGACCCAGTAGGGGTTTCATGGGTTTGATCACTTTCGTTGGGTTATAGGGTTACGCTGAAGTGGAGGTGGAGAAAAGCGAAAAGCAGGTAAAAAGAACTGCTTTAAAGCAAGATGAAATTATTTAGTATGTCTCTGTGTGTGAAAGATAAAGTTCACAGCTTTGATAAGGTGTTGGAGGGACCACAGGAGAGAGCCAAGTGGGGAAGGACAGAGGAAATGATTGTATCTCTGAGGAGGGAGTAATACAGCCTTGCCTTGTTGTTTCCTTCTGACAAGTCGTTATGGGACACTGTGGGTCATGATTCTGCATTTAACATCCTTGAAGATTAATACTGGCCCGTGAGGTGCAAGGAGAAAAAGCTACAACCTGACCCAGATGCCGCAGGGACATTGCTCCCCTCTGTATCTATCAGGGTGTTTATTCTGAAGTCAGGCTGCTCAAAATCCCATGCGGGATGCTGGACCTAAGTGCCCAGGACTGGAAAGCCATTTTGGGCTAAGCCAGATCCCAGCACTCAGCAGATGTGTCTTTATCGTTCTGCTTCTAGGCTTCAGGCATGTCCTTTACCTCGTTTTCCTCATGCACCATGTACACAGGCTACTTATGCCGCAGCACTTCTGCTACATGAACACAGCTACAGCAGCAATACTGAAACAGGAATATGACCCTCACGGTCTTGGCTCATTTTAGGGCTCCTTGCAGGCAGTCCCTTCCTCCATACAGTCCCGTGGAAGCTGGTGGCTGTTGACTTTGGCTTGCTCATGGACTGGGCCTTGCGTGCACAGAAGTGTTCTCGCGTGCAGGCGGCGTTGCTGGCTGCCAGAGCCCCCAGATCCTAGGGCTCCCTTTTCGTGCTCGGCACCTGCTGACCTGTTCTGTGGCTACGGCTTATGCTGGGTCTTGGTGCCTTCGTTTTCCGCTGATTTTCAAGGTTTGGTTCTAGCAGCACGTTGCGCCCAGAACTTCCATTCTTCTGCCAGCGTACCTGCCTGTGCTGGCTCCCTGTGAGAGCTGGAGTGAGTGATTGGAAAAGATGACGAGGGAGGTTTGAAGGACTCCTGCACACAGTAAATCTTTACTCTACAGGAGAAAGCAAGAGGGAGAGGAGGAGGAGCGCTGTGTCAGACTGAAGCCTAAATGAGTCCAAGCTGGCACGTCAGAGCAATCTTTATTTCCTCCTTTACACTGATATTGGGTGACCTCCAGATGTGTATTCTTCCCCTCCTGGTGGCCGGTGAAACTGCCTGAGGGAGTAGGGGAGGGAGGAAGGGAGGGAGAGACCCGGGGAAGGACAGCTTGGACAGCTTTTGCTCATTCTTTCTCCCTGTGATCAGGCTCAGGTGGACTAACTCCTTCCTGTCCTTTCGCCAACCCACCAGAGAACAGGCTTTCTCCCCCTCTCTGGAAGCCAGGGAGGACAACAGCTCTTTATGTCCTCAGTCCAAATCCTGATGGAGAGAAGGCTGTTCCTTACGTGATTTACACCTGCATGGACTCTTCCCTTTCCCGGTCTTCCTGGAAGCCCTTTCTGGCAGCTCAGGAGGCTGCCCGTAGGCTCCTACAGCCTTTGCTGAACTTTCCATGTGGAGAGTAGAGGCTCTCCAGTCGTTGGGACTGAGAAGGAAGGGAGCAAGCTGGGTGAAAAGAACTCTTACAAAATTGACAGGGAAGGGATGGACTGCAACAGCCACAGGAGGCTATCCTGTCTTTGTCTTGCCTTCTCTTTTCCACTCCTCCCCCTGCCACTCCTCGCTGTCGAGCTCCTCACAGTGTAGCCTTTGCTGCTCTTCCCCCACTTCAATTCATCTCCACCTCTGCTGATTTCTGTCTCTGCTCCGCACTTTTCCATCATGCCCTCCTCCTGCTCCACCCCACACGTTGTCTTGCCCCGTCTCCCTTACCCGCCCCACGCCACGCTGCCCTGCCCGCTCCGGGCCCTGCTGTTCCCCAGCACACGCAGCCTGGCTCGCGGTTCTGCCCCCCGCTACATGCGAGGCGCTGCCGTCCATCCTCTGTGCACCTGCTTCCCTCTGCAAACACACGCAAGGACAGAACTGTACAGACCTCGGCATATTGGCGTTGGTCTCACTTCCAGTAAAATGACTTTTTCTTCATATTAGGCCAAGGCAAGAGTGCAGAGACATTTATGAAACTTTGTTTAATGTACTGAAAAGCCATCGGCTAGAACATTTAGGAAATTGATTTTCCTGGCATTGATGAACTCTTTTTATTTTACCCCAGTATTAATTACTTTTTTTTTTAAAACAAATTAATTTAAGAGTCGTAAAACCTAACAAGTGAGCCAAACGTCAGTAGATCATGTTCCCCTCTCCCCTTACTCCCCCTCCCTGCCGCTAGTGCTGGTATGGGAGGAGAAGAAAAATCAACGCCTTGCGTGACTCTCTCGCTTTGGTTCTCTGTAGGGGAAGCTTCATCGCTGCGAGATTACGCCGCCACCACCATGAATGAGTTCCTGGGCATGTTCGGCTACAACGATCAGAACATGCGGGATGAGCTGGCCCGCAAGATCAGCTTTGACAAGCTGAACGCTGCTACCTCAGAGGCCCCGCCTCTCTCTCCGGCGAAGATGCCATGAGCAAACGAGCCCGCTTCTCCAAGTACGAGGAGTACATCCGCAAACTGAAAGCTGGAGAGCAGCTCTCTTGGCCCATGCATTTGGCCAAATCTGAGGAGCTGGGCTCCAAGCTGGGCAAAGAAACTTCCTCAGTGCTGGCACAGCCCATCCGGGTGCCAGGTCCAGATGCCTCCATGCTGACGGAGACCAAAGCCACCATCCTGCCGCTGCCCTCTCCCAGCAGTTCCCAGATGCAGGGCCTGATGTCACGGGCCTCCAAATATGACTTCTTCATTCAGAAGCTGAAGACGGGTGAAAGCATCAGGCCCCAAAATGGCAACACTTACAAGAAGGCCTCCAAGTATGACCTAGAAAATGTCAAGTACTTGCACCTTTTCAAGCCTGGAGAAGGAAGCCCAGATATGGGAGGAGCCATTGCCTTCAAGACAGGCAAGGTAGGCCGGCCTTCCAAGTATGATGTGAGGAACATTCAGAAGCTCACTCCAGTAAAAGCTCCAACACCCAGCCTGGCCCCTGCTCCCCTCACCAGTACCCCCAGCAGCACTCCCGTGGCTGGGCCGGAGCAGTCCGTCTCATTGCCATTCAACACTCCTGAGTACCTGAAATCAACTTTCTCCAAGACAGACTCCATCACAACTGGAACAGTCTCTACAGTAAAGTAAGTGTCCTCCCACTTGTCTTATCTCTGGGTTAGCAGGGGATCATACCCAAAGTCTCTGTGCGGACCAGTGGGCAATTCCAGTTTGTGTGGCCATAAGCACCGCTCTGTTCATGTGAGGTTTCTTTTTGCTCTCTGTTGGAGCGTCCACTCCTCTGTTGTACCTTACATCTCCGTTTATCTTACATTAAGGGTGTTGCCTGCCATCAGCAGTTGCAGCCAGGAATCTAGAGCCCACTGGCTCCTGAGTTCATACGTTAAAACGAAAGGTGAGGGAACATGGTCCTGCTGGCACCCTGAGGTTGCAACTACTTTACTTTCTCCTCCTTGCGGTTCCCCAGGCATCCAGCTGTGTCTGCAGAGGAACCTGCTTCCACTTAACTCAATGGCAAAACTCTGCTGACTTCACTGTTAGCAAGATGAGGCTTTTTGTTTGTCCCAGAACTCAGAAGACATTTTGGTGGCTAATTCCCATCAATTTTCATAGGAGTTAGGCACATACATACTTCTGTGGGGCCAGGCCTGTGTCTTCTCAATTTGCTTGTTCCTTGCACAAATGGAGGTGATTCAATTACCCCTCAGACTGGGCAAACTCATTAGCCCAATTACCACTAATTACCTCCTACACACACGTTGCTGGCAATCTCTGCAGTGATGCCATTGACTGAGTGGAGATATCTGAAGGCCTTGCCAAACCTTGGATTACTTTGTAACGTGGCTTCCCGAGGTGGGAGCTGCAGAATCCTAGACTGGCCTAGGCTGGAAGGGACCTTAGAGATTATCTAGTCCAACCTCCCTGTCATGGGCAGGGACACCTCTCAACTAGATCAGGCTACTCAAGGCTCCGTCCAGCTTGGGCTTGAACACCTCCAGGGAAGGGTGGGCAATTTATTCCAAAGTCTTGCCACCCTTTTCCTGAAGAATTTCTTCCTAAGATCCAATCTAAATCTATTCTCCTGCAACTTAAACCCATTTCCCCTTGTCCTGTTGCTGGACATTCTTGTCAAAAGTGTAGCCTTCCTGTAGGTTCCCTTCAGGTATTGGAAGGCAGGTACTTGTGTCTGTGAGGCTGCAACCTGGGAGGTAGGGAGGGACTTCTCTGCTTTCTTGTCCTGGTTTGGATTTACCTGTTTCTCACTTGTGGACCTGGGGCTGTTGTGAGCTGTGAATCCCACGGGGTCATTTATAGTCAGACGAGGACTTCTGGCCTGCAGTTAGTGTCAAATGCCATCCACACACACCCTCCTGCTTTGCCCTCTGGTAAGAAGGAAGGCTGGTTTATGTTTAATAGGTGGATCTAGGGAGTCCTTGGGCTGAATCCTCAGTCCAATGCTCTTTACAATCTCAGGCAAGTCTGCACCCTCCCTTTTCCATGTTTCCTCACCTGGAAGGCAGACCTAATGATACCTGTCTTCTGTGTGAAACAGTCCGTTCCCAACTGCCTGCAGACAGATTTGGGGCCTCTATGGTGGTGTGTGAGAAAGGGCAGAGGATTATTAGCATTTTTCTCTGGCCCCAGCTCAGGATGAACCCTCCAGATGGCGGGCAGGGACTCCTATTACTGAAAAACACTGCTGTAAATAATCCTGCAGGCACAGTGCCTTGTTGTGATGGGTGACTTGGCCAGGGACATTGTGCCTGAAGAGCCTGCAGGACCGCTCAGCTGCTGATCAGTGGCAGTCCCAGAGCTGTGCTCGGGGAGCTGCTAGCCTCTTCTCATCTGCTTTGGTGTCGCACTGTGATCCCAGTTTGATTTCTTTTCTCTTGCTCATTTCCTGCGACTTGCAGACATGGGTTTGCAGCGCCCTGGTGAGCCCTCCTCTAGCTGCAGGCATCGTGATGGAGGTGACCAGGGCCTTCAGCCTGGCAGTTCCCAGCGTCCCGATCACACGCACGAGTATAGAAGGCTCTGGCCCCTTCTGCTTCAGGCTGCTTACTAGATACAGCCTTTCATGGTAAAGGAAAGTAACCCCTTAGCTGTGCTGGTGGACAGTGCTCACTGTGGTAGCTGGGACCTGGCTTGCCTTTCAGTCGCCACTGGGACCAAATAACCTGGTGGGAGTTACCCCTTTCTCTCACACATATGCACATACACCCTAGCTGTGGGTTTAAACTCTCTGACATCTAATGCTGTTAACCTGCCCTGAACTAATCTACCTACTTCAAGTGAACTCTGCGTGAAAGCGTTCTTGCTTAAACCAGGCTACGGAGCTGACACGAGCAGGAGCGGAGGTTGGCTGTGGGCAAAACCGAGCAGGAAGGCCATGTACAGCCTGGCTGGGTTCATCCTGGCACGCCACTGAGTCTTAGGTCTGGCCCTGTATCTCTTCTTCCTCTTGCTGACCTCATCGAGGATGTCGTTTTTGTCTGCTTCCTAAGGATGTTAACCCAGGCTTATGTGATGGTTGGTTGCAGCTGGGTTGGATTTCTCTTTGATTAAAGTACTTAAATACCCTTGCTGCCCCACCTGTCTGTTGGAGTTGGAACACCTGTGTGAAAACAGAAGCAATTTAGTGGAAATTGGTTTTCATGGTTGGTCTTCTCAGTGTCACCAACAAACTTCAAAGAGGGAACATGCAGGAAGGGTGGTAGGCGGACTTGTTGTTCCCTAGGAGAAGAAGGTACGTGATTTGAAGGGCAAGGGGAAGGAAGGTTAAACCTGTGGGTGTCTTTGCTGGGTACTTTTCCCTGGGCCCTCTCTCGCGATGTGTCGGTGGTGTGTGAGAGAATCGAGGAGCTGACTGTGCCTTGTTGCTGCCTGCTAACCACCTCTGCCCTCTGTGTTTCTCATTAGGAATGGATTACCCACTGACAAACCAGCTGTCAGCGAAGATGTAAATATTTACCAGAAGTATATTGCCAGGTAGGCAAAACTCTTGACTTTCTTGGGGAGAGGGCTGGAAGTAAGAGGGTGGAGAGGTGGTGGGAGAGATGAGGTCTTGTCCATCTGGATCAAGTGTTGAAACCAGTCATGGGCGTTTACATTTCCCTCTGGCATCTGTGCTTGCTCTGTGCCCCTGCTCGGAGGGCAGTAGCCATGAGAGGTGTACAAGCATGCTAAGAGCACACTCAGCTCCCCAGAGCTGTTAGACTTTTGTGACAAACAGTGGGAAAATGTTTCACTGCAGAGGCCCAGGATTTAAATGTGAGCGCTGTCTCTTGCCTGTCATTCTTTCTGCTCATTGCTGTTCTGTCTCTTGCCTTTTTTACCCTACTGTGTTGAGTGCCTGCAGGAGGAAAGCAGAGAACGTCTCACCTCTGAGAATCTAGGCTGGAGGACTTCACAAGGGACTTGTGTTTAGGCAGGTCTTGGCATCAATGTAGAATGTTTAGCCAAGAAAATTTTGCAGCTCATTTATATGAGAAGCCCTCACTGAATAAGCTGCAGACTAGGGCACCTTACGCGGCTGTGGACAAGCTCAGGTCAGGAATGAGGGATGCTGAGAGGGAGCCCAAGGCTGCTGTGGTGAGACACACTGAGTTTTGCCATGCGAGACAGAGGAGAATATTGCATACCAACTGCCCGTTGTATAGTTCATGGTGTAAAAGGTCCATCAGCCTTTGCCCCTGGCCCATTGAATCCTCCATCTGCACCGTGAGAATCTCGCTGAGAAAGCACCTCACATACAGACAGACACCAGTCAGGGAAGCGAGCAAACACTTCTCTCCAGAGATAAAACTGAAGGGTGTGTTCCCACCAGCACTCGGGTGCTTATTAACAAGAGGGGAGGGAAATGTGTGCTGTGCTTCCCCTCCTCGCCACAGTCCACAGAGAGTCTCCCTGTGGGAGGCGGGCAGCTGCTCGGAAGGTGTGAGGGAAGACCTTGGCACATCAGCTTTCCCTGGCAGGAGAGTGGAAGGAGAGGCGATTTCGCTTTTGCCCAAATCCCTGAGGTAGGAGAAGGGGGCAGAAGATCCCGGGGAAAGAGGGGGCAGTTGCACCACCTCATGCAGCTCCTCAAGCAACAACACCTCTAGCGCGTGTGACAACGTCTCCTGGGAGAGCGCAGGGGTGAGGGCAGGGCTTGGAGCCCGTCTGTGCATGAGGCAGAGGGAGCAGCACCCTTCTATTGCTGAGCCGGCAGGAATCGCAGAGGCTGTGGCGAGAGAGGAGATGCCACTCTTTCTGTCCCCGGTTCCTCTCTCAAGCGGAAAACTCTATAAACACTTCACCCACATCCACTCCTCGCAGCGCTCGGCAAACCCCTTCCCCGGGTCAGGCAGGTACCCGAGAGAGGCTCGTGAGAGAGCTCAGGGCCACCACATCCTGCTCAAAATGCTCTGCAAGCCGCCCGTTGGCAGCACCGCCACTTCCCTTCAATTTACACACAATTTTAAAAACAGTTTAAAGCCTTAAAATCAAAAGGTGGGGGGGAGAGAGACACGACACTCTATGTCTGCGCTGCATAATTAGCTTAATGAGTTTGCCAAAGCCACTGCCAAAAGCTGCCCAGGGATAATCACATCCTGCTCAAAATGCTCTGCAAGCCGCCCGTTGGCAGCACCGCCACTTCCCTTCAATTTACACACAATTTTAAAAACAGTTTAAAGCCTTAAAATCAAAAGGTGGGGGGGAGAGAGACACGACACTCTATGTCTGCGCTGCATAATTAGCTTAATGAGTTTGCCAAAGCCACTGCCAAAAGCTGCCCAGGGATAATCCATTCTCTCACACAACAAAACAAAACCTCTTTCTTAGCTAGTTTGGGTTGGGTTGTTTTCCCCCCCCTCCCCGTATATTTATAATTAAAAATAAAAAAAAAAAAGACCACAGAAAAAATTATTATTATTAGTGCCTCAGCAGATGGTGCTTCTGGCAGCACTTGCTTAAATATTTATTTCTGTGTGGGTTTCCTCCCCCCTTGTAATTGGGGTGGGTTTGTTTTTTTTTCTTCCTTCTTTCACATCATCGTTACAGGGTAATGAGTCTGTAAACACTCTCTAAGCATGTTGACTTCTATATTTATTATTTTTATTATTATTTATTTATCTTGGGTTTTCTTTCTAACTCTTGCCAGATCAAGACTAGTTCTTTCTGGCCAAAAAAAAAATAAAATGTGAACCAATGAAAGTAAGAGAAGGGGGAAGGGATTCTTCATGTGAAAACAAATCTTTGAGCCTGTATGGACAGTTGAGGAGTTTGGTTTGCATATCAGTGTGATTAAATGCTCTGCGAGTTTGCTTGTTTCAGGTGCACGTGTTTGTGTCGGTTTGTGTGCATGGAAATTGTGGGTACGCTCATGTAAATCAAGAGGGGTGTTAGAGTACGTGCATGTAAATGTGCGCGTGTGTGTGCGTGTAAGTAAGTGTGTGGTGTGTGAGCTTTCCTGTTCTGAAAAAGCTAAACAGATGCTGTGCTTTAAAAATTAATAGCTTTGAACTGTTTCAAGTGTCAAAAGAAACAGAGGATAAATATAACCCTTTAGGAGCCTAACCCTACAGGCTGCGAGAGTAGGATTTCCCCTTTGTGCTGCGTTTGCCGCTTCCCTCCTTCCCCACGCGTGCGGGTCGGTAGAACCCTCGCCTCTCCCTTCCTGCACAGCTCACACACACACACACACGGGGGGAGTTAGAAGTGCCAAAGTGCCTGTTGGGCTGTTGTTTGTAAAGCTGAGCCCTTGAGTTACTCCTGCAAAGGTGCCTCAAGTAACTGATCCCCTAAAGTCAGAGCTCTTCGGTGTCTGGCCCTTCTTTGCCAGCAGTTGGCATCCCTTGGTCGTTTTGCATCCTCACTTTCTAAAACGTTTCGGGCTGCTTTGCTGCAAAGGTGTGCGTTTGTCACTCAGGTCTTTATCGTCCTCCTCTCCCTTCCTGGCCTGCGCTCCACGGATCTCCGGCCCTGCGCAGCCCTTCGCTCTCTCCTCCCCGTCTCACCAGTGGAATAGGGAGGAAGCTTTTCGTGGGGCAATTTCTTTCCTTTAAATCTGCTGCCGCCGCTGACATACAGCCCTGGACTAGCAGGACCAGTTGGTTGGACCTGCTGCGGAGCCGCAGGTGCCTGGTGAATGCCACGGTGACTCAGGCCGTGCCCTGTTCTGGCCCCGCAGTTGCCCAGGCGTGAAGCAGGAATTGCTTCCTCTGCTTTCAGCCCCACACCTTTGTTTGTGCAGCCAGCCTTGCTGTTTGCCTTGTGGTTTGTTTCTTCTCCGCTGCTGAGGTTTGTTCCAGTTTCTCAATCACCTGTTCTGACGTGATCCTGATTTCCTGCAGTATTTCTTCTCCTTCCCCAGGGAAAGGCATGTCTGCTCCTGGCATCTGTCCCTGTCTCCCTTTGTGAATGCTGAGGCAAAGAAGTCATTTAATTTTTTAGCAATGTCTATCTTTTCTGTCAATTAAGTCCCCTTTCCATCTCCTAGAGGCCCTGCTGTCTCCACAGTTGACCTCGTCTTCCTTACTGTGCTCCAGAAGTGCCTTATTTAGCACCGCTTTTCATCCTGGCTTTTTCTATCCTGTAGCTTAGCGTTACCTCACCTCATGATGATCCATAATCTTCCCTGCTCCTGCCCCATTCCATGATGCCCCAGGACACCCTCACTCCTCTCATTTTTCCTTTTTTACCCGTTGCCCTTCCTTGTTGCTTTCCCCTGCCCTTTATCATACGCACTCCTGCTGTGTTTAGCATTAAGTGACGTGAGGAACCTTTGAGGAACCTTTGAGCAGATGGTACTTTATCTTTGAATGTTTCCCCTCTGAGTCCCCTTCTCTCCCCTGCTTTTCCCTTTCAAGCTCTTCAGCTCTTCCAGGGTCCTCTAGAACGTACCTCAGAGAGTTCATTGTTCTGATTAGCTCATTACTGGATCGTCCCCTTTTGCCAATTCCTGAGGTGTCTGTCAGTCAGTACACTCTGTGTACTGTCCTTCGTGTTGAAAGTTCCTCTGTCATCCTGCCATGATCATCTTCTGCCTGTGTGGCTCGCCCCCCCATCCACTGGTCTGCAGTCTTCTCTCTAGTGTGACACCGCACTGTGAATAAAAAAAAAAAAAGTCTTGAGACATAACTTATACAGACACATGAATGTCTGAATGAGCTTTTCTGAGGTCCTGCTAGAGAGGTGTATACCTAAAATTTAGAATCCATATTGGGCCAGTGCTCATTTGTCTCTCTCTGGCGTGGAAGATTCCTGAAACTCGCTGCTGTGGTATCTAAACACACACGAGAACCCTCCTTTCTTACTCTGCCCCAAGTAAGCAACTTAGATGATGGACATGAATTTCAAAGGGAAAGACAGACAGGGATGTACACGAATGATCTGGCTCAAGAAGCACCTTTAAATAGTGACAGATAAGAAAAGGAAGGCAGGGGGGTCACCATGCTTGCAGGGGATAAAGGAGATGGGGTTAAATGCCATAAACATATGGGGTGAAAGCAGGAGCAGGACTGGCTTTATTTGTACCTTGCTTACCGGCACTACTGTCAGGACACCGTTTTATTCTCCCTGTCTTTCTTCTGTCCTCCTCTCACGTTCGCAGGTTCTCTGGCAGTCAGCACTGTGGACACATACACTGTGCATACCAGTATAGAGAACATTACCACTGCCTTGACCCAGAGTGCAACTACCAGGTAAAAGAATGGTAAAAAGTTATCAGCGCGGCTGCCTGAATGTAAAGGGGCACAACCCTGGGGAGATGTGTGTCCTCCTGCCCTTCCCTCCCCCATGCACGCACGTGCCTCTTCACTTCTTGGCTCTGAAAGAGGGAAAGATGCGTTTTGAACTTACTAGACCCCTGTTTTGTTCCCTTTTCATCCCATCTAATGCCATTTATCCAAACCCAGACCACTATAGCGAAGAGCAGAATATAGACCAGCTCAAGTCAGTGGGAACTACTCCAGATTTACATCAGCCAAGCCAAGAGAATAAATTCTGCTGTGTTACAAATCGCACCTGAAAGTAGGGAATGCTGATGTGTTTGTCCCTTTCGCTCCCGCTGCCCGAGTGACATCCAGCAGCAGTATCTGCAGCAAAACACCCAATAAGACCAGCAGCAGGCTGGGATTTGTGGGGAGAGCGTGGGGGCAGGAGCATGTGCGATGCTGTAATTACTGGGAGGATTGCCAGGGCAGCCACGTCAAGGCAGCCGAGTCACGTGCCGCGTGTGTTTACCCGCTCCCCAGGTCTGAGAGCCTGACACTGCCATTTCTGTGGTCAGGCTGTCAATGGGAATCCCCGCGTTTGCCTCCGCCGTGCATCAGCCACAGCTTCAGCCCTACCCCGGGTCTCAACGGGAATGAGTCTGCCCAGGGCACAGGGAGCTGGTCGGGTCTGCTGAGCTTGGCCAGAGATTTCTGTTGATCTGAGGAGTCTGGAAGCTGCGTGCAAAGGAGCTGTCTGGTCTCGCAGGGAATAAGGATTTAGGCTGCTTTTTAAAATGCAAATTATTTTATGGCTGAGATATATTTTAGAATAAGTAACGCTCTGTAATAAGTGGGCACAAATTAACGATGATTGGCAATAGCAATCCTGTATGTACGCCCTGGGAAATCATACCTCCAGCCTCCAAGGGATTCCTGTTGAAATCTATATCCATATATTCCCATGCCAATACCAACGAGATTGATCGGGATTGATATTATAGGAG